GGCCAGGGTTCGATCCTCAGCACCACATACAAACAAAGATGTTGTGTCCGCTGAAAAACTAAAAATAAATATTAAAATTCATTCTCTCTCTCTTTAAAAAAAAATCTTTTTTCCTAAAAAAAAAAAAAGAATCCTTTTTTCCTAAAAAAAAAAAAAAAGAATCTTTTTTTTCTATAAGAACTCTCAAAAGGGGCTGAGATTGTAGCTCAGTGGTAGAGCTCTTGCTTAGCATGTGTGAGGCATTGGGTTCAATTCTCAGTACCACATATAAATAAATTAAAAATAAAGGTCCATTGACAACTATAAAAAAATTTTTAAAAAAGAACTCTAAAATTAAAAATAAAATAGGGCTGGTAGAATGGTAGAGTGCTTGTCCAGCATATGCAAGGCCTTGGGTTTAATACCTATCTCTGGGGAAAAAAAAATGTTGGCAGTCTTACAAAGATCACAATAAATTTATAATCAGGGAAATGGCATCTTTATAAGGTTGAGCATTCCTAAGAACAGTATGTCTTTCTTTTTATTCAAACTTGTACTTCAACAGCATTTTCTTTAGTTTGTGTGAATCAGGATCCATTTGTCTACAACTTTGATTAGCTGATATCTCTTAGTCTCTCACTCAATAAATTCTACCTCTTTTTAATTTTTTTCCCCATTTCCATTTTCCAAAATGTTGTCCATTAATCTAAGTTTTCCAAAGTAATGGCAGAATATCCTTTTATAATTTTAAAAATGACATTCTACTTGTAGTTATGGTCCATTTTCTTCCTAATATCATTGTGTCACTTCATTCTCTTTCCTCCCCTTTTCACCCCCTCCCTCCTTCTTCTATGGCTCAATCTTGCCTATTTGTTAGTAATTAAGGTTAGTCTTTTTAAGAAGCATTTTTGTTTAGTAATTCTTGTGTTCCATTTCATTATTTCTTATTTTTAATCTTAATTTTAAGATACTTTCTTTGGGTCACTCTATTATTATTCTAGCTTCTTGAATTAAATGTTTAAGTCATTTGTTTTCAATCTTCTTATGGTTGTTAAGCACATCAATTTATTTTATATACTTTTTGGTACCAGGGATTGAACTCAGGGGAACTGGACCACTGAGCCACATCCCCGGCCCTATTTTGTATTTT